TATATATATATATATATATATATATATATATATATATATATATATATATATATATATATATATATATATATATATATATCTTTTAATAGAAAAAGTTTTCTACACGAAAGAAAATCTTGTTTCATGTAACTGAATAGGGGCCAGATGAAAAATTACATCGTCCTTATGATTGGAAACATTCGTCTAAACATTCAATATTAAAATTGGCTGAGACAATTGAGAATAGTTGAGTAACTTAGAACAACTACTAGAAACTTAGAACAACACGGAAAAAATATACTGTTGAATCATATTTTAGTCATAATCAAATATATTTCAATTCTTAGAAATGAAATAAAAATAACATATAAAATAAAAGGATAGTCGATTACTGTAGAATACCGATCTATTTCTCGATTACAAAATTCTAAATTTTTTTTTAATTTTTCTGAAAAATTATAATTTTTATTCTAAAATTCTCTCCGTGTGTGTACAATCGAGGGTTACTAGGCTTGGTTCTTGTTCCTGCTAGGCAATGAAAGATTCACTTACACCAGCCGAATTACTTCACCCGTGTATCCTCGCTCGTCTCATCGACAAGGTAGAAGATCGTCGCGTCTAACGACACGTTGTTCCAAAGTCCATGGGTGGTCCGAAGTACTCGGCAAAGTTACGGTCGCACGCGCGCGACACCGCGAATCGTGAGTCACGATCAGTCACTTCTCTTTTGACATAATCGCGCATCACCGTACGCCCTCGAGCGATGTCTCATCGCAAGTGACTCCACACACGTAGCACCGTGGCAAGTCGCAATTTTCCGGGTAAAATCACGAATTTTCGCGTGACTCACTGTACCCGCGCACAGGTGGGTGTTGGGTGTTCAATTAAATTCGCTGAGGAGACTGTCGATGATGATGATCCTCCGAAAACGCTGACTCGCGCGATACGACTTGGCAAGATTACTAAGCAACTAATAAACGTGTACGAATAATGACAGGCGGAAACGCTCGTTGGGAGAAAAACGCGCGCTCGATTACCGAGAACGAAAACCTGTGATTCGTTGCCGCGACGATAATGTCTGGCTCGCGCGAGATCGTGATTAGCGAGAGACGGCGAGAGATCCTTTTCGGAAATTGCGGCTTTGCATCGTTACAGTAAGCCGAAACGGATGAGACGTCGCGTGTCTGTGGGTGAAGAGAAAGAGCGAGGGGGAGATTAAGAAGGAACTCGACGAGTTAATATTCCTTCATCACTCTCTCTCCCTGTGCGTTTTGCTACATTCCACTCTCGGATTCCCTTTTCCGACTCTCGCGCATTCCTGCATCCTTTTTACTCGCCTCTTCGCTAGCATAGTTATTTTCTCGTGATCTCTTCGCGTACGAGTCGCTTCCTTCTTATTGAGACTGTAAGTCGTCGAGCTGTCCAAGACATACCTCTTTATGTGGATCGTCTCTCTCTCTCTCTCTCTCTCTCTCTCTCTCTCTCTCTCTCTCTTTCTCTCTCTCCTTCAGCGCAATTCACCCCCTTGATTATCCCAATTCTTGTCTGGTTCTTCGGTAGGTTTTTGCCTTTCGTTTTTCACACATGCCGTCAAGAAGCACATCAATTGATCTATCGATCGATCAATCGATCGCTGCAGATCCACGTATGTCGCGTCACATCGTGTCCCGCGCGGCCCGACGTAATTACCACAGCGGCTGCGAGAACAACGCGACCTATTAAAATTAAATCAACTTCTCATTAGGTGCGGCAATAAGCCTACGACGGCCTATGAGGACCCTCCGGGCGGCGTCTGTTTTTGCAACAGAGAGCACTCACTGTCTCTGTGATGTTAATATGGAAACCGCTGTGCTCAGTCTTCCGTCGCGAGCTGTGCTTTAATTAGGGGAATCAATCGAGCGCTTTCTCG